AACGTTGAACGATGTTAAAATTTAATTATTAATCAGTCACGGATATATAATAAGTTACATTGAGTATAATGAACGCGTGATGGAATCTCATCCATCCCCTGTCACGTGCCAACCCGTTTTGAAGATTGTATAATTAACTTTTACCTTCAAAAATTCTTATCTAATTACCGTTTGTTTAATAAAAATAAATTTAAAACATAAACCAATCAGCGATAGTTTTATTTCGAGACTCCAACGTTTATTGGATGAAATTTGAAGACGTATAAATTTAAATTTAAATTTATATTTAAAAAAACTGATTAGTTTTGAATATTGATAACAGATGGCACGTCAGTGACTGATAGAAAAATGGAGATTTTGGTCAAATATTTTTCGTAAATTTTGAATATTTTTATGAATATTTTATTCAGTTTTATGTTATGAATTACATATTGCATTTTTTAAAATTTTTTTAAAAGTATTTTTAGATAAATTAATATCTGCTTGGTAATGCTATTACCTAGCGCCATTTTTCCCCCTCTGATTATTAATGTAAACATGCTTGATCACGTGATTAAGTATCCGAATCGATTTTCGTTGTGGCTCGAGGTAGAAGTGAAATTTATTTACCACACACTTTCCTAGGTCACGTGATCTGCTATAATTTGCAGTATAAGCGAACGTGACGTCGATGGGGAAACTTTTATTTTTTATTTTTAGAATTTTAATGCCATTCACGCGAGTAGAAGTAAAATTAAACATGTCGATTGTGTAGTGAACATTGTAGAAAGTTAAAATAATATAGTCGATCATAATAAAAACGCAGTTTGCGTGACGTACGAGAAATACAGTAGGCTACGTGACCACTCGACTGTACTAAGTCCCCTTTGCCAGGCATTTTAAAGAGCATGGATCACGTACCCTGGCATTTTACGTAACGTACATATTAAAAACTTACGTGATTCGACCTTGATATGAAACCAATAATCTTATAATGCAACAAGATCCCTCGTTATAACGCGTTAATGCGTCAATTCTATTAGCGTCATAAATAACACTAAAACTATGTATTGACGTTCATTATTAAAGTAGAAAAAAGTAAACCGTATTCTAAATTCTTCGTTATAGCGTCTTTATCATTTATATATGCATTGTTTCTTAAATACAATACGTACTTTATGATGGAGGTATGATATTAAGGGGGTCCTTGTTGTGTTAATTCCAAATATTTTAGTGTTATGTACAAGATTACAAACTCAATTCCTTGGTAATTATGATGAAGAGAACTTTGGAGTTTAATTCCCTTGATATAACGCCATTATTACCACGAAGGGGATTTAATACTTAATGCCATTTCTATAGAACATTAAGCGTATAGTCCCTACATCGTTATAAATATCATTAAAATGATGAATTAATTATACGCTAAATTCCCCTGTTATAACGGCTTTAATAAGAAGTTATTATATGTTCTAGAGTTATTTAATATTATAAAGATTATCATATATTCATTACGAAATGTTCAGTTCATTTGTTATATCGAATTTAATACGTTAAAGTTCCTCTACGCTCCTTGTTATAGTGTTCATTATACTCCTCCTTGTTATAGTGTCAAAGATAAAGAAATAAAAATATCCCTCGTTATCAGGTCACTGACGTTATTATGAAAGAATTAAATAATATACTACTTTCTTTATTTATACGAAATAATTTATTATATTTTCAATTCCCTCGTTTTAACAATATGGCGAGGATTTTAAGCTTTAAAGAGAAGAGACTTTGTAATGAGAAAATCAATGTTATCTCATATTAATGCTTCTATAACGAGGAAATTGAATTATATGCTCAATTTCGCCATTCAGCATTTAAAACGAGGCGAATATCGTTAATTTCTTCGATATAACGCAATTAATAGGTCAGTTTCAACAATAAAAATAATCCTTATTATTGTAACTGACATATAACGGTTACGAAATTCAAATTCATAAAAAACGTTTCGTGTAATTTGATTGGTCAGTTTAAATTTAAAAATTTAAATCACGTATAACTGATTTTTTGGGGGGTAATTTTTTTAACCACGTGATCATGTAGGAAATCCGATGACCCGGATGAAGAGAGGAGGGGGAGGGGAAGGGGGAAATCTATTAAAACGAGGAAGAATTAAGGAAGACACTTGACCTAAAATCGGTCACGAAACACAGTCAATCACGCGACAAGAGCTTAGACAATCTCACGATGTGTCAGTGTAGGGTGCATTAGAAGAATGGGGTTAGGTTCTGTACGAGTGTGCACTTTACCTTAGATTAATTAGTAGGAAGGAGCAGATAGTGATTAAAGCTAAAGTTCAAAAGGTGATTGGGAAGCTGAGAAGAATCTAACTCTGCAATCACCATCAAGTGTCCTGGGATGACCTTTGATACGCGCCGGAATAATAATACAGTTAAAATTTGAATGTAGAATATAATGGGTGAAAGGGGGTGGAATTTAGAATATAAAAAAATAAAATAAGTAAAAATTTCTATCACCTACTAGGCATTCTTACATAATAAAAAGATACAGTGATGTAACAGGGTGTGATTAAAACAACTTATAATTTTCCATGTAAAAATCAAATAAAATTAAAAAATTCTAAAAAATAACGTGTCACATAAGGTACTAAAACTAATTATAAGCAAAATAAATATAAATGTATAATAGCAATATAATTCATAGAAGACATACAGTTTAATATAGGAAAATTATTTTATAAGATTATTTTTTAATAAAAAATTCTTTAAAATTTAATTAATAGTTTAAACCTATTTTAAGTATAAAATTTTAATATTTTGTTTAAAAATAAAAAAATAAATAAATACTAATTAAATATTTTAAAAATTGCAAATTTCTACAGTGGCTCCATCTTGTATTCATTAATATCATTAAACATTAGCATAAGTAAACAATTTTAATTATAATATTGATATTTTTAATTATTTAAAAAAGAATTGAAGCTAAAAACTTTTAAAAAAATTATATACAGTAAAACCTGCCTAAAGGGAAGAAATTCTTCAAAACGTTTAGGCAGGTTTCCATTTTAAACAGGTTTTACTGTGTTTATTTTTTTCCTCCTTAATTTTTTACAGGTTAAGTTTATAAAATAAATTTAAATAAAAACTCATTAACGAAGATATTAATAAAGTAAAAGAGGGAGAGGGAAAAAAATTTAATAAAGTCCATTTAAGGGGTAAAAAAAAATTAGAAGAGGAAGAAGAGGAAGAAGAGGAGGAGGAGGAGGAGGAGGAGAACATCTCGTAATTTGTTTGCAGGGAATTGTTTCCTTTAATTAGTAACTTGACCTGGTAGGATCCTCAAATTTCAAGTCCATTTGTATTGACGTTGCCATGGTAACCGATTACGGTACTCGAATTGGAAATTTGACACGTAAAACGTCACAAAAAGCCACCCCTGCCTCACTTCTTATCAGTTATAACGCATTACGCATATTCTTCTAAGAGCGTTGTTAAAGCCGCCACGTCAATTAATTAAAGAAATTTTAAATAGCGATTAAATATTTTTTTTAATATTTTAATTTTAATTATGAAACCGAATTTAATATCAATTAAATTCCGTTGCGAGTGGTGGCGCTTCGTACGTATGATTGTACGCTGTCGCCATCTGTTATTAGATAAAAACACTATTTTTTTAAAAAAAGTACGGTAAAAACCTGTCCGAAACGGAATCTGTATAAAACGGAAACATGACTAAAAGAGAAAAATTTATTTTTAAAAATAAAATAAAAATTATAAATAAGTAAAATTAATTATTTTTGTAATTATAAAAGGTTTTTTTTTGTATGTTTAAGCATAAATATGATATAGTAAAACCTGTGTAAACCGAAATTGCTCGGTATCGAATGTTTTTTTTCCGCATTGGCAGGTTTTTAACAGAAAATTTCTCCATTCTGAAGAATTTTTTCCGTTTAGGCAGGTTCAGGTTTCGTTTTCTACAGGTTTTACTGTAATTACTTTTAAATCATTTATTATTATATTTGTAATGTATATAAACAGAATTTTAAGATTTAAAAAATACAATTATATTGAAAGATTTAATACTGTCGAACTTCTAATAAACTCCACCTGTAAACAGTAGCCATTTTTTTCAGGAAATTTTAATTTTTGAAGTAATACGCGTGCAAAATAACCTCCAAACGACGGAAATTTTACATGTTTCTGTCAGTAGTTGTTGCAGACGTTCGATTATGTAGTGAAACCTGTCCAAAACGTTACATGAATAAAACGGAAACCTGCCTAAACCGGAAAAATTCTTCGGAAGGAAGCGATTTTCTGTTAAAAAACTTGCCTAAACCGGAAAAATTCTTCGGAACGGAGCGATTTTCTGTTAAAAAACTTGCCTAATAGGAAAAATTCTTCGGAACGAAGCGATTTTCTGTTTTTAAAACCTGTACAAAACGGACACTTGCCAAAACGGGAAAAAAAACATTCAAACACTGAAACCGCTCGATTCCGGTTTAGGCAGGTTTTGTTGTATTTACATCTTTATATATGGCCTAATTTTACTTATTATTTACAGTTTGATACAAAGAAGTTTACATTTTACGTACGCACGTATGATTTTTATAGAAGGTCCCCGAATTATATTAAAATTTATAAAAATAAAAGAAGATATTTGTCAATAGTAAATGGCAGGCTCTTCAACTCTTTGTCTTTTTTTTTCTTCTGTCGATAGAACTTGTTGGTTTGTAAAGCAGCAGATGTGCACACCTCCTTTGATCTTCATGTTATTCGTATTCTCTCCCCCCTTAAACCGCTTTTATATGACAGATGATGATGGATTGATCTTCTATATACTTTTTCCCTGTCCTTAAATCTGATTTATGACCAATAAATTCGTGCTGCCATCTGTTGAAGGGCGAACGAACTAACCGTCTAAATAACGCTCAACCTGTTTACGCGGCCAATTTTTTTTTTCTTTTTCTTTTAAAATAAAATTAAAATTTTATTTTATTTTACTTTTTTTTTTAGGATGTTTATTTACTTCAGAGATTTGTGAAGAGGACGAACTTTGTTTTGATGGTAAGTTAATTATTATAATCTTTTAACATTCTTTCTGTCCACTTTCACAGTTTGATGGCCATTTATCCTACTAAGTACGGAAGAAAAATCCTTAATTATTATGAAACATTAAGGAGGACATACAAAAACATTTGATTACAAATCATCAGTTAGTAAAAGTCATAACTTGAATTAGTAATGGCACTAATTTTGGCAACCCGCAGTTACACTTTTGGAAGATTTTTTTGTCGTTATATCCGTTCTTAGTGTCATTAGGCATCTCTTGTGTGTTGTCAATACATCATTAAGATTCGATATAACGAAACTACGAAGTTGAAACGTTAGAAATTTCAAATTTCCCTCGACTGGAAAATTGTATACTTAACATAATTAACAACAAATACACTAAAACCTGTACAAATTTGAACCCGAACCTGCCTAAACGGGTGCTGAGCAAGTTTTTTTTTCTATATTAAATAAGAAAAACCTGTTTAAAACGGAAACATAAACGTGTTTTAACCGTAATAATTTTAATAAAAGTTTCTTTAATTCCCCAACTTTTAATTTATTTTCCTTGTTGAATTTCATTTCACTTTCACTTTTAAAAAAATAAAAATAAAAAATAAAAATTGTCAATTTCGTTTTCTGTTTCTTTAATAAAATGCATTTTTTTTTCTTTCTTTCTTTCTTTCTTTTTTCTTCTTGCAACACGTGATTTGTGTCAATTTCGCATTTTAGTTTCAATTTCGCTTGTCAATTTCACTTTCAATTTCATTTCACTTTATTTTTTAAAGAGAGAGTGACCTTGACAATTTTACTTTCTTTAATTCTACTTTCAATTTCTCTATTTATCACGTGATCTTATCAATTTAATAATCTTAAATTTCATTTTTTATTTTATAATTTTTAAAGCTTTGTCAATTTCTTGCTCTTCGATTTTATTTTATTTTATTTTATTTTATTTATTTTTTTGAAGCATTCGACCTTGCCAGCCCTTTAATTTCACTTTCACTTTTTTTTCTTCCTCCCTCATGAATTTCAAGCTCTTCAAATTTTAATTTTAATGTATTTTGGAAACAGCTGGCCACGTCAACTTACATTCTTGAATTTCGAATTCACTTTTTTCTTTCAATCACGTGGCCTTGAAATTTTGTATTTTTTTAAAATTTAATTTAATTTTATTTTATTTTACATTTTTAATTTCAATTTCACTTTATAAAAAGACAATTAATTGGCATTGTCAATTTCATTCTGTTTAATTTTAATTTTCACTTTCTCTTTGAAACACGTGATGTTGTGAATTTCAAACTTTATTTTTTAAAGCACGTGGCCTTGTCGATTTCATTTACTTTTTAATAACAATTAACTTTCGTTTTCTTTTCTTCGCCTTCGATTTCACTTTCGCAGAATAAAAATTAACTTTTCTTCGTTTTTATTTTATTTTTTTAACTTTAAGAGGAATTTTTAAAAGGAATTTACTCATTGTTAAACAATTTTGTAATATTTAAATAACATTTTTTCAATTCTAAAATCGTTAATACTATCGTAACTGTTACTTTTACCGTGCTGTTATCGTTACAATCGTCTTTCTTATTGCCAAAAAATAGAAATGAAACCCTTAACCTTCTCGTTAAAAAACCGCTGTTACTTTTTAAAATATATATGCTAATAGCGTAACAATGAGTAACGATGTATAATTATTCTATAAGGTGTAACATTAACAACTCAATAATATCGTAACACTGTATTATTACTCTATAAAGAACAATTATGGATTTATTATTAGAGTAACGCATTTATTTTATATACTATAACTTTTTACGGCGTGTTTACTGCTAGCGTAACAATTTTATTACTGTAGTAGCACAAGTTTATATTGCTGTAACGTTTTAAAACGCGTAAACTGCTGTCGTAACGGCTTACGATTACTCAGTAACGAGTAACGGTTACTTTATTACTATAGTAGTAAGGATTTACTATTGTTTTCTCTTTACTAACCGTTACCATTTACAGATAACGTGTTCGGAAGATGCCACGAGATTACAGAAAACCGTGAAGAGAGATTTCGTTACTCGTTAACACCAAAAACCTTAAGGTTACTGGAACACGAGATGAAACGTTTATTTATTGGCGGTTACCGTTGGGTTCATAACTACACTCAATGCGTCATACAAAACATACTGTATACGGAAAGACACCGTCTTTCTTACGATCCTGGGTTATGTGCAAGGCTCTTACAGATGACAGCACCTTACGTGGTGAGTATAGAATTAAATTATGCAAGAAGCAAAAAATATATATGTGTGTGTGTGTGTGTACTGTACGTATATACATACATACAGACGTTCAAGTTTATTTAATTATCTCCACGATTTAATGTCGTTATACGAAATCTCATTAATTGTAATTACTGTTTATAGATTTTAATCTTGTTTCGTACTCCTCGCTTCTTCTTCGTTATCGTATAGAAAGAATATGTTTACATTGTCTGTTACTTTGGCAACTTTGAAACTTTAAAAATACTTTTCCTTAATTTTTCTTCTTTTTAAAATGTCACTGTCCTTCAGGATCTATTAATTTTTATAGATCTTGATTATTTGAAACATTTCCTAACATGGAAATTGCTTAGAACTACTATTTTTAATTAAAGTCGGGGCTTTGATTAGGTACATTTAAACTCGTATATCTTATTTTAGAAGTTGATGCCAGAGATTTTAACTGATAAAGGCACTTCTGTGTAGTTTAAACTATCTCACAGATCTTTAGTGAGGTTGATATCGATGAATTTTCTTAAAGAAATTGCGACTGTTGAAAAAACATTTCGGTCTATTCGCTTAGTCAAATGAGTTTAAATAAATACTTTTATCTATCGAAAGTGTTAAAAATACTTTAATTTAAAATTTAATTTTGGCTTATTTTTATGTTATTTTATTATTATTATAATTTATGTTCTGTTTTAATTTTAATTAATTAATTAATTTTTTTTTGGCTATTTTTAAAATGATTTTAACACGTTTCCTATTGACTTAATGTTATATTTTAGCCGTTTTAATATTTATTTTTTATTATTTATATATAAATTTTAACTACTTAATACTTATTTAATGTTTTTTACTATGTTTTGGGTTATTTTTATATTATTTTAACGGAAAATTTCATGTAAAAATCTCTAAAATTCTAATTATATCCGACTCAAAAGTTTTATTTTGAGATAGAAATTCCTTAAATCCTATTGATCGGTGGTTCTTTAAATACTTTTCTAAAGAACTATTTATTTTTCTAATTTCAAGATAAATAGATCTAGAGTCTGTTCATTGCTCTTAAATACAGTAAGAAGCTGAGGATAACTCTTGAACTGAAAAGATCTGATAGTGAGATGCAGCAGCAGCAGCAGACTTTTATTGTAGTGAACTCTGAAACATTAGAAAACACCTAATGCTCTATAATTTTGACAATGAAAGACATTGGATCATGTAAATTATTAATTATCAATACAAAATCTAAAACAAAAGGCCCTTAATGTTCTTTAGGATTCACTATAACTGTAGTTATAGACGATACTAGAAGGCAATAATAATAAAAGATAAATGATCATAGCAACGTTTCTATTAAAATTATAATAGGAAAGAGTAGATGTAATCTGTTTATAACAAGTCCTGGAGCAGGGGTGAGGACTTTCATTGCTTCAGGATTCTACAGAAGGAGCATTAGAAGATAATTGGATCCTAATAACTGTTGAACATTAAAGAGGACCATAATTAAGTGGAAAGATGTGATGACATTTTTACTGTATAATAAAAAAAAACCATATCATTCTGACAAGGATGGAAGAGATTTTCCTTTATATATATATATATATTTCTTTAAGTAAATGAGGATTTTAGAAAGAAGAAATGACCAAAAATCTAGTGAATCCCTCTTTCTCTATACTTCTGGGATTAATTTACTTCCAAAAAATGACTTTGGAATTAAGGGAGTAAGAATTTTCTATCAGGAAAAGAGTAGGAGAGTTGATGGGAGATCTTAGCAACGTTTTCAGGTCATGTGACTTATTATTTAATTAAATATAATTAAAAAGAGAGTAGGAGCGATAGTAACAGTACAATACTTCTTGTCCTGTTGCTTTAGAAGTAATCGTTGGAGCAACGAAAGATAAAATATTGCTTCAGGATTTCAGTACCACTGAAATGGGATCTCTGAACTTTAAAAAAGGAGTAGGACTTTGGAATTAAAGGAATAGAAGCTTTAATTTTCTATCAAGAAGAGATAAGAAGATGGGGGAATCTTAGCAAGTTGTGGAACTTATTTTAACTATATTTAATTAAAAATAAGACAGTAGAGACAGGAAGCAGTAGATTATTCTGGTGTGCTGGAGCAATAGAAGACATACCAGCGATTTCACTGGATTGGATTGATGGAAGAAGACAGCGCAACACATGGGCGATCTGCCAAGGTGGGGTGCTTCCCCAGACAACTTTCTATTGGAAAATGGCTTCGATTTAGGTGTTAGACACATGACGAACACTCGGAAAACTCCACGTGGCCAATCCTATTGTTCATGTACTAGAGTGCGAGCTTTAACAGACAGTAGGATGCAGAAAACAATTCTAGACCATGTAAAGAAGTAGAAAGTAACCTTTGACATTTCCACTAGGTAATTAGCAAATTCCATTTCAATACATAGAGGTTTTTTTCCCCTTTCTTCCTTTACATTTTCCCAAATAAACAGGGATTTTAGTAGGAAGCAAGATCCAGAAATCTAGTCAACCTCTCTCTCTCTCTCTCTATACTTTAGGGATTAATTTACTTTCAAAAAGTGACTTTTTGGAATTAAGTGAATAAGAATTTTCTATCCAGAAGCCCCCCTATAAATCTTCAAAAGATTAGAAAAACAAGAGGATAGGCAAGTAAATAAATTTTCTGTGCTACTCTTTGCCCATCAATGATTTACGACATGGAGTAATGTCGCCGAAAGACATCAAAGGATAAAAGTTAATTTACGAAATTAAATTAATTTCTTGTCTGCGACGAGCGTGTATCGAAGTAAATGTTTCTTTAACTTAATCAGAAATTTAACTTTTTTTTTTTTTCTTTCTTTCTTTACTTCTTCCTCATCCTCCTCCTCCTCCTCCTCCTCTTCTTCTTTATTTTACTTAAAATTTTTTTTTTCTTCAGCCAGCTGCTCTTCTGGAAGAATTAGAGAAAATGGATCCTGAAGACATGGCTTACATCAAGTGAGTTAGATGCATGGTAAATTTGTTATTGTAGGAGTAAATTTAATAAAAGGGGTAAATTTAACACGTTTTATCGTAACTAGATGCGTAATTTTAGTACCCTCTTATCCTCTTTTTTCTTAAATTGATCCCTTCTGTAAACAGTTTCTTCCTATATTGCTGTATAGTAGGATACTTTTTTAGTGTTACTAGAGCGGTATAGCTGAAAACTATGCTGTTATAATGGTCTTAACACTTGGTAATTTACTAGTGATGCTGTGTTACTTTACTACATCACCTTTTAACGTTTGATAATATAACACTTTCTTTACTATAAGTAACTAACAGAATAGTTTTTATGCTGTAAAATTTCATGAAAATTAAGAAGAATTTCTCTCTCTCTAGATTTCTCCCAAGCTTGACAAACTCTCATTCCGAATATGCAGATGAGATCTTCGCTCCCGCTCGACACAAGCCAGAATCTCGCTTCGAAAAACGAGATAACGATAATATATTAAGAGGAAAAGCTATAGAAGACGAAGGAGGTGATGATATTGATGATGATGATGAAGATTTTTTAGCATTCTTACAATATCTAAAAGAAGCTTCAGTACGGGATCAAGAAGATCTACGCTATCCCGATAACGTAAGATTAAATGATGCGATGATTATCGGATGCTGAGTGATTGTAAGTGATGCCGAGATGATGATCCGACGCCTTTTTTTTTTCTTCTATCTTTCCTGTAGATTAAGGACGATGAACCGAGTCGACATCCGTTATTTTCAGAAGGAGGAGTGGAGTGGTTACCTGTCAATCGTGACGACGATGCGGGGTGGAAGAAAGAAGTGACGTCAGATGGCGACACTGAGCGAAAATCAAGTATCATCTCCCTCCGACCAGAAAGATGGCTACGAAATAATAAACAAGGTAAGTTTTAAATGCATCTCTTAACGATTTTTAAGTTAAATTAGCACAAAAACAAACCTCCTCACCCGAAATCGCAATAACGGGGGCGATTTTTGCGCAAGTTAAACTCACTTTTTTTTAGCATTCGACAGCAAAAATCGACCCCGATTTAACGAAACGACATCGTATCTTACAGATGAGCAGGATGATGGAATAGTGGAGCGAGCCAGGGATGAAGAGGAGCAAGATGATGATGATGATGATGACGACGACGACGATAACTTCCGGCGGTTTTCCCGTTACGATACTAAGAAACCAGGACCCGGTTTCTACGTCCACGAGCAGGAAGATGAACCGGATGATGTAAATATCCTTCTTTTTTTTTTATCTTCTTACCTATAGGATGCGGAAAATGGGGCGTGTTTGGCAAACAAATCAATGCTTGTTAGTGAGACCATCTCAGCATATAATCCCTCCTTTACTAACTTGAAGATTGGATTGCTTGTTAATGGAGAAAAAGGACAAGATATAGTTTTGCCACTCGACAAATGCTGTTATTGTCCGTTCTGTGATGGCTGTTGATAAGTGGATGGCCCGTTTAATGTGTTAGACGTCCCAGATTGGGGTTGGGAAGAGCAACAGGGCACGTGATCGATCAAGAAACAACGTAAAGAGGTAGGAAAGTGGATGATAGAAGCGCACTTCGCTTTTGTACGACTTTTTACAGCTTCTACAGCACGAAAAATTGATTTAGATCGACGGTATTAACCCCCCCCCAAAATACTGTTTTCTCTTAGATGCTGCTAAATAAAGAATCCTGATTTATAAGGCCTGTCTTGGGCCTTGCTGGATGAAGTAATAAAGTTGGTTGTTTTTGTATGTTTTGTGAGCTATTGCATCTAAAATTTAACATTTAAGGCCTTTATCTGTGGAAAATTGTGGCCTTCTATTAATTTATAGGAGATAATGCATAAAATTACGATTCTTCTACCAATTTCTAACCATTCTTCATGCCTTTCAGTCGTGTTATAGGCAATCCTATACAGAAAAAGACGCCTTTTAATTAAATTTAAAGCTATTTTTCACACGTAGGAAACTATTTAGCTTATTTTTATGGTCGTTATACTCCTAAAACGTAACTTTTCAACGATTTTTTTACGATTATTCCATACCTAAACAAGCATTCAACACTCATCTCCTAACTTAGTAGATGAGGAATACGAATACTTCATCACCTCAAAACATCCCCAATCATACAATTCTACAATTATTAAGATATAGACAAGATCTAAAACACTACCTCAAAATAATTGACACGAGAATATAGTAAAAGTTGCCAAAATTACAATTAAAATCACTTTAAGTAGTGAAACACCTTCTTAGATAAGTTTATAGATGAAACAAAGACGAAATTTGCCTTGTATATAATCCAGTTACGATAAATTCTGTAAATAAATAAGTATAAATACATATATACTGTTTATAGGGGAAGTGTAAAGAAGAGGAGGAAGAAGAGGAGGAGGAGGAGGAGGAGGAGGAGGAGATAAGTAATGATCATAAAACATTCAAAAGATTTTCTGAGATATATTCCGAGATAAACATGTTCATATTGTTGCTATATCTACAGTAAGTGGGGAGTATTATTTAATTTTCCATTCTCGTCTCCCTGCTCTTTGCCCCCCTCCACGTTTGCTACATTGTTTTTCACTATCTGTCCGACAGGAAGTCAATCTTAAGCTTTTACTCTTATTTTACCGTTCTATTTATCTATTATGTATGTCTTGATGCAATCTCTTACTCTTCTTCTTGTTCTTCGTCCTTTAAGTATGACGATCATACGTAAAAAATTGATCCAGACAGCATCCTTTTCTCCTCCTCCTCCTGCTCCTCCTCTTCTTCAGTCTCTCTGAATATGAATTAATTAAACTTTATATATATATATATTTTTTCCTCTTTTATTCTTGTATATCAATAGAAGAAGGGGGGAGTAAAATACATATGAAAAATTCTGTTTATCTTTTGATGTAAACAGATCAAAAATTTAAAAGAAAGGAAATTTAATAATTTAGGATTCTTCTTGGAAATTCTGGATGGAACCTTCGGATAAAAGCAGCGTTGGATCAGTTGAGGCGGATGAAGAAAGGATTGGTAAGTTCTTTTTCTTTATATTTCTTAGTTTATTTTTTGAGGGTGAGAAAAGTTTCCAGTGTTTCTTTTAAGTTTGTGTTGTCGTCAGTATAAGAGGAGCAGCATCCTTTAGAGATTATCTTAGGAGTTACTTTATAGCTATATTTGCTCCAGTAGCTATAGATTCTACACACGTTTCACTATCTATAGATGAACATTATCTTCCTGGATTTAGTTGAACAATAGGATTCTAATCGTGTACAGTTGAACTGAAGTTGTGCTTAGTTAGAGATGCTGAACGTTAAGATTCAGCTCCATATCTATAGCTGAACGTAGAGATTCTAATTATGTTCTAGCATCCATATTGAACAGATTCTGATCGTGTTCTTCATATCTATACATGAAGATCGAGCATTAAACGTTTCTGAAGACGTTAGAGATAATTCAAACTTTATCCTGATCTACAGAATTAATGATGCTGGAGATTTTCCTAAGATGAAGAGTCGAGGATGCGGATAATCTGACGCTCTTAAGAAGGATAAAAATTTAAATTTATCTCTAATTTATCACTTTGGAAACCTGCTTAAAAATAACGTTATTGTTAAGAAAAGAAAGTTTCTTCGAATGGTAACGTGTATAAAATAGTATTATAGGGCCTTAACTTTAGTAGTTAAGAGCGAGCAGAATGCTTGAGAAGAGTAACAACATGAGTTAGATGAGAAGCTGATCATTGACAGCGTAACAACATTCTTTAATGTCGATCCATAGCATCATTAACGAGCTATGTAGACAATCCCAAACTGCATTAACTTTCCAGTCAAAGCCTAGATAAGAATCGTGTCTGAGTGTTCTATCTCGTAACAGGATCGTTACGAGCTCGAATATTTTCTAGGAATTCCATCGAGTTCGGTCGCATTATGGTCGCGTAACAGTTATAACAGTGTTGCTATCTGTTTTCTTCCGTTTTCTGAACGTTAAAGTACAGGTATACTTTTGAAGATAAGCAAGATGCACTCTTTTCTGATGTGGATCTGTAGTTAACTTCTCTACTTTTCCTCTCTGATATATAACACGAAAAATAAATATGAGGTTTTTCCGTCTTCTCTTCTTATCTCCCTCATCTCTCGTAAGATGCTTGCTTTCTTTCGTGGATCAAGAGTTTGTTCCTCCATCCTTCTCGCTTCTATATAATTAGAAAGGTGAGAGTGACACCCTTTAGCTCGTCCTCCTCCTTTCGTCTGTGAACCAGAGAGGAGTGAGATTCATCTTTATCATAGATCTACAGTTGATTTTCTTTTCTTCTCTCGTCTACAACACCAGAGATGAGAGAGATGTACCTTTCTCTAACCGGTTCTAAAGTTTAATCTGTCAACAACTCTTAAAGATGAGAGAGAGCAACACTTCTCTTACACCAGAGTTAGTTCTTCGTTTTCTTCTTTTCTATTAAGAGACTTATAGAGATGGAGATGAGCCATTCTCTAACACAATTCTGGTTTAGTTCTTCAACTTTTTCTCTCTATGCAACTCTGAAGAAGAACGAGATTTACCTTTATATAATGAGGATCTTCATCCTTCTTTCTTTGTCATCCTTCTCTAACGCTAGAGTAACTCTTCATCCTCGTCTCCTATGCAACTCTGAATGCGTTACATCTTTCTCCTAAACGATCTCCACACTTGTTTCTTCTATACATACAAAGATGATAGAGTAACATCCTAGTTCTTTATCTTTTCCTCGTCTATACAACTCTAGAAACGAGTGGAACCATCTTTAACACGGATCTAAAGCTCACCCTCCTCTATACAACTCCAGAGACGACTGAGATGTATAGAGTTTGCTCTCCATCCTCTTCTCTTACGCTTTATCCTTTTCTCCTATGCAACTCTTCTCTACAAAAACACGAGCTAGCATCATCCTCCTCCTTTTAGCACGAGTAGAAAGCTGATCGAGATGATTACCATCATTCATCCGACATGAACTCCAGGAAGAGGGAGCGTGAGAGAGGGTGGGTAAATCCCCTCAGATAACGTCATATAAATCTTTATCCCAAAATATGGTTGGCCCACCGTACATGGGGCGACAAACAAACACGGAAAATCCCAGGAATCCCCCCAAGATACCACTAAAATGGTGCACGTAATTGCATTAGTGTAGATATTGCAAATTTGAGTGTTCAATGTTAGTGAAAGTGCAGAAGGTGTGTTTGATGTCGTCCGACGCCATTTTAGAATGCTTTTAAGTCCTTTAGTTTCCTGGGAAACGACGTCCCTGGTGATTTAATTAAAACTAGCAGCGTGGATGCTGCACTTCCTCTCTTTAGCCCGCTTTTATCAGTCAATTTTCCACTTGTTTATGCTATTGCTAAACATTCTTAAGTTTGAAGAAGGGGAGAAGAAGGAGGAAAGACGTTTGTTTTAATATCAGCAGACAGGACAGATTGAAATTAAATTGTTGCCTGAGGAACGTTTTCTTCACTACACGAAATTCTCTCCCCTCCCCCTTTTTATTCGTAATTGCTCCACTCTTAATTAGCTGCAACCTTTTCCAAAACGAAGATTACAAAGATTAAAACATTCTTTTAACATCTCCATTTTGCTTTCCTTACTTCTTCCTTTATTTTTTAATGGAGTTTTGTTGCCTCTTAACATCACCGATGCTCCGCATCACTTATATTTGTTCCTCAAATATACTCCCCTCTACATTTCTTGGTATCTCTTTCTTGTTTTCCACTTTCTACATCTTACTTTTCTTACTTCATTCTTAGTCTCTGTGCAACTAAGTTGCATTTTTACAGTTGTATATATACCCTAATCCATCTCTTATTCTCTTTGATTTCTTCCTTACTAACGTTTTGTTTCTGTTAAACGTAGTTTCTTCTAGTACTTTAACTACTCTTCTCTCAACGTGTTTCTGTCTTTTTTCTCTTAGTTTCTACCTTATCTCTTAGTAACTAAGCAGCATCTTCCACTTCTTTTCCTCTTCCGAAGTTACTCCTAAGTTTTAGTTTCCTTTTTACCTCTTAATTTTGTACTGGATTATCTTCTATCCAGCTCTTAATTTGCCTCTTAATCTCTTAGATTCCTTCCCTAGTTAATGCTTAGTTTCTTTTTAGCTTAGTTTCATCTTCAACTCCAATTACTCTTGAGTTTAATTCGTCTATTCAATCTCTCTTCGTATCCTCTCCAAGTTTTCTAAATTCCATCTTAAGTTTCTTATTTAGTCTCTGATTTCTTCCCAATTTTTAGTCTCAATTTGTCAATAATTAAGTGGAAATTAGTTATAGTTAAAAAGAGGAAATCTTAAATAATGTCATTAATGTTAAGTTTCCAAGTGGAATGATGTGTGAGGAAATTCGGCTGAGGAATGAGGTGTGAGGAAGGATTATTGTGAGTAGCTTACACGCGTTACAGAGTGACCAGGTGATGCTGCTTGGATTATACTTATAAACTCGTCAAGTCAAGTGATCTCTCTCTCGAGATTTAGTTACTCCGAATGGGTAGACAAACAGCCGAACGAAGGATTTTTTTTCTTTCGGATAATCCCACAAGAGTAAAGAAATCAACGAACCGCATCACTCTCCAACATCCATAAGAAAAGAAGAGAGATGCAGGCAGAGAGGAAGACAAACAAATTGTTTATCTATAAGAAAAAAGAAACAATTTCTTAATCCACCCCGGGCTCGACAATAACAGGAAATGACGTCAGAAAACGAGAATGTCACCAACTTCCGAAGTAATATCAAATCTGTAGAGCAATAGCGTAGAAGCTGGAAGAAGGGAGGAAGAGGAAGAGGAGGAGGAAGAAGGGGGATGGAGAAAAGTGAGAAAAAACTACGATTCTATAGAAAATGCGCGACCTCAACGTCCACCATTTTAATTGCTAACCTTCTCTCCCCCCCGAACTCTAAGGTCATTACTGTACCACAAAAGGAAGTTTCGCAAATGCGAAGAGGAAATAGATTCGTGGAAATGAGATTTTCTCCCTTTCCCCCCTCCCTCCCTCTCTCTCTCTCTCTCTTCCCTTCCTCTGTTCTTCCCTCCTCGTGACCAGCGTGCACAAATGTGACGTCACGGATAAAGTGTCACCACGCTAGCTTTGGTAATTAGTAGGAACACTCCCTTCTCCCTTTGGTGCCACAGGGTCTTTAGAATTTTAATTATCGGGGATTTGTTGGCAATGAAGAAGATAAAGTAGTACAAGAGAAGTAAGACTACGCTTCACCCCCCTCTTTGCCTTTAAATATTTATGCCCTGCCTCCGTGATTATTCACGTGAACCCGCTCCTCACTTCGCTCGTAAAGTGGATTTTTGTGTATCTGTGGTCCTCATCCCTGCGATAGGTTAGGGGTTTAACGTTCTCGGGAGAAGATGTTTAACCCTCTTGCACCCCTTGAAATTGTTTTTATGCTAGTTAACACATGATTTGGGTTTTTGGGAGTGATTTTTAGGGAGATTTTTGGGTGGGAATTTACCTGAAATTCTGTTAAAACGGATGTAGGAACACAGAAGTAGGGTTGAAACAGAGAAACAGGTGATCAGAACACAGGTAAATGGATGAAGAATTAGTGGATGGAAAGATAAATGGATGCTTCTAGGTTAGGAAATGAAGCGGGAAAGAAGGGATGCGCTGCTGAAAACGGAAAGAAACATACGTTCCGTTGCTGTTTCTAGTGTTTATAGAAACATGTTTGTAGAAACAAGTAGAAACAACGAGAAACAACAGAAAGAATCTCTATAAATAAGAATTGTAAGGAACAAAAGGAAACAATGCTGGAAACAATACTAGAAAATATAAATTAATAGAGACACGTGTAGCGTTTCGAAAGAACGGGAACACTCAGAATTAGAAAACAATAACGTTAATTAAACACAAGAAAATCAAGTGTTTATCCGCATGGAAAACACAGGAAAGTAGTCTCGTTTTGTGTCAACAACCAACTAGAAAGCAAGTCAGACAGGAAAAAACTACAATATAAAAGTCCAGACAACCATACGAGCCATAAGAATCAAGAGGAAAAAGAAAAAAAAAAAAACACTAAGAGAATCTCGAAACCTAGATATCGTCACTCGAGCATCGCAATTATATACAGTAGTATATGTAAGAGAGAAAGAGAAAAATGATGTCTAGTGCTACAGACAGACATACCAGACTCACTTCCTCATATAGAAGAAGGAACGTTTATTGACTATCTTTAATATAGTCTGGTAGACGTCCTTTCGTTAGTGTCGGGACAGTATTCAATACATTCCATTCCACATATTCCGACCGGGTGATGCGCGTTTTATAAAGTGTCATTGCTGAAATGCAGCAATCTTCTTCTCATCAACGACATCCCCCCCTTACATATATAACAATCCTGACACAAATATAGGATAGTCCTAAACGAGAAACAGATTGAAAAAGCTCTATCTATCTTTGGCTCTCTCTCAATCCACAAACCAAGAAGATGGAGAGCAATGTGAAAATACTAAAGGAGATGTTGAATGATCCCGTTGTCTTGGTTACATGTAATTGAGTATCCAGTTTGGTGAAAGTTAATAAATATTATTATTTTCTTATATGTTAAGTGGGTTATAATGGTAAATTCGGTGTCCTGAAGTGGATCTCGTGTCCTATTTTATGTCTTCTTTGTCTGCTTCTCCCGCATCTTTTATCTCTATTTTTGGAGTGATAAATTGGAGATTAATTTTAATTTTACGATAATTTAAACGTTATTTTCCTATTTTTTCGCTCTTCATGCAAATAAACCCCGAATTTCACCCTCTTAACACCAAAATTAACCTTCTAAATAGACATTTTTACCTTATAACACCTTATTTATTTTAAACACTAGACGACAAGATGTCCTTACGATTCGTGGGTCAGGATAACCGCAGAATTCCCCAAAAAGGTAAGAAAATCATCATCATCATCATCATCATCATCATCATCATCTAAACGACGAATGATGATTAATTTACTCTACAGAAGGAAAAGAAGGGGAGAAAGAAAAGGGTGTGTTACCTGACGTGGGTAGCCAGTACGAGACAGTAGATGCTAGTTATACCTATTTAGTTATAGGAAAGGAAAGGTAAGTGACATAAACTGTAATTTAAAACAAAAAAAAAATACAGTTAACGTGCATAATTAACTATGGGTCAACGTTTTTTTTCGATGGGGATGAAGGAAACTGACGTCATCAGATGCCGAAAAATTAGTAGAGACGTTGGAACAGATGTTGAAATTGCCTCGAGGGATTTTTTCTAATGTCAAGTGAGTTTTTGGGGGGCCAATTATTTGTATTTAAGATGTCGTGACACGCTTCAGCAGGTGAGCGACCAAGCGAGGGTAGACTTACGCCCGCTTCGTCACGTTCGCTTCTTCTTACTAAACGGATGAATATAATGTTGCGGTGCTTCTTCCTTGTTATATTCCTCTCCCTCTTTCGTTGCCCCCCTTTTTACGCTGCAATTCCTCGTAATAACGAATTGCAGGAAACAAAAATCTACCCCGTCGTTTGCTTATCCGGGCGTAATGGTTGGATAATTAAAGGAGGATGTAATCGCTCCTCTTTCTCTATGCTCTTTGCTCTCTCTCTCTCTCATCCCTCTCCTCTCGGTTTTCCTCATCCTCTTCTATTTTTTTTCTTCCTGTTCTCGTGTTTGTTCGGGTGTCGGAGATGGTCCAGATGATCCGAAATTGTCACGTGACCGCGCGGATACCGGTTACGTAAACACCGATTTAAGCTCGTGTTAGCGAATCACGTGAAAATTTTTGCGTGATTTTGATTGATTACTTAAAGAGATTTGCTCGTGAGGGTGTCGATGACGTACGCGAGGTGTTTTCACGTGAGAAACGCGATCCTTCCGTGACGTGTAGCGAGGGAAAAATCTACCTCGGGACGAAGATACTCGACTTCTTTTAAGTCACGTGATCGATTATACGAGAGCGCGAGGAACGGAGGATCTAGAATTTTGGGGGTGTCTCGAGATGAGTGTAACTTGGATAAGGTGACCTTTATCCAGATTGACACACATCACGCATTCTCTACCCTCTCGTTTTCATCTTGATGATCTTTTGCCCTCCATTTTCTTTCATTCAGATGAGATACACTGCCTCCAATCTTCCTCCTCCTCCGGATGACCATCCTCAGCATCCTTAGCACTTAAAGTTATCCTCTAAAATCCGGCACAGATCACACGCGACGGTACTTTGTTCCTATAGAAGTATCGTGTGAAACACGCGCTCGAAATGTTTATTACGTGACCAATTTTCTTAAGATATTTTTACTTTTGACAGCGTGGACGACGACCAAGTGACCTTTAAGGTCAATCCTAATTCCCAAGGACTTAATGCTTCCGTAGTAGCAAATAAAGCAGGTAAGGAATGGCCGTTTCTATTCCTAATTCTTTTCATTTGTAAACTTAAAAATCGATCCTTTTTCCCCTTTGTTTCTTTCGCGATGTTCAACAACTTGTTTATTACTAACGCTCCTCTGAACACGATTGTTCGGAGGTAGAACAGGAAATTAGAAAACTTCAAGTATTATCATTACTCCTGTAGTAGCATCGACCATAGGAAACTGATATTAAATGCCTTTAATAATAATAATAAGGATAATTAAGAGATTTCTCTGCTTGCAACGTTTAAAAATTCTAAGCTATGCATGTTTTATTAATGCAGTAGCACTGTTCAACTTTCTATCTGCAGTATTATTTAGATGAATGTCGGGATTTTATGTAATTTTAACTTTTATAAATCTTAAATTGTTACTAAAGTAGCATTCTACACTTGCACCTACCGCCGCATTAATGTGCTAAACTCTTGCATAATTCTAGAAGTTAGCAGTTATTCTTCTGAGTCAGAAGCATCAGTTTATCTGTTGCTATGATTTAACGCAGTTGCTATGATTTTGCGTTAACAGATGAGGTTCTGCCAGACATTCTCCTCCTCATCCAGATGAGCTTCTGCCTCTCATTCTCCTCCTCATCCAGATGAGCTTCTGCCTCTCATTCTCCTCCTCATCCAGATGAACATCCTTGTTTCTTGCATCCCTGCAACGTGTTTATATCTACAAAAACCATTCTTCTGCATTAACAATTACAACTTTTTATGTTAAATGTTCTACTAAAGTAGCATATTTTTATGTATTAATTACTATACGTTTGTATATTCACGTGCTACTACATTGATTATACTTGTTACACAAGCACGTATTACAACACAAACATTCCTTTTCCTTCATCCGTCTACCTGGAAACATCCTTCCTAAAAGCATCATCCGTGTAAAGACATTCGAAACATGTTTATATCTACATAATCTACACAGAAAAACAATAAAATGCTTCCATATTATGAATAATACGTTTGACGTCCACCCCTATTTTTAATCTATATAACGACACATGCATTACTATTTAAGCAACTCATCTTTCCATCATACTCGTCCACCACCATTCATATTGGAAGCAGGAGAGACGGGCACGCACCCCTACTCAAAAGAATCTTATGTAGACAATACACCCACATTTATCTAACTTTGGCTGGAGGGGATACTTCTTTTCATCACGGTGGTGGCATTGTCACGTGATTCTCCAATCGAAGGGAGGTGGGGGGAAAACTTGTATAAAACTCATCCCAAAGGGGACGATTCTTCCATTACCGTGTAGCATCACCAAACACCTAACCTGTGTCTTTGGGTGAGGGAACAAGAAAATTCTCCATTCATCCCTCTGATGTTTGTCGGTATCTTCGACTGGATACAAGAGTTGAGTAAACATTACAAGATTTCGCAAGTGCTCCTTGTTTACTGCCTCAATGGAGCAATTCCCCTCGTGCATCATACCTCTATAGAAACATGGGATGAAAAGTATGAGTTAATTTTCCGGTATCCACTCTTTTTTTCTCTCCTTTCCTCCATCTCTTTTTCCTTCTTCTTGTTCTTCTTCTCCTCCTCCTCCTCCTCCTCCTCTTCTTCTTCTTCCTTCTCCTTCTCCCTTTCCCCCTTCTATGTCATCAAGAAAAATAGTGGAATCGGCTTTCTTTTCAATTTGACAAATTTGCAATCTGAAAGATGATAGTTTTAAAGTTTTCTTCAGAATCAACTTTTATCTCTCTAGTGGTATTACTCTACACGTATCGATGCTGATGATATTTACATTCGGATAATGCCTAACTCTCTCTAACAGTCGACTTTGTTTATAAAATCACTCACACAGAATATACAATATGTTTCATCTGATACAATTTTATCATCATCTATACGGAATATTACGAAGTTAATTATCATATCATCCTTTAATTATCATCACCAGATGCTGCGAAGTTATCTTCATCTATTCTTCAAGATTCTCTTCCTTGTATCTTAGATTCTCCTATACACATGTGTACATTTTGTGGATGATATTTTTCAGAATGTTCCTTGTTATCATCAAATTTATAAATCATCATCTTCATCATCTTATCACCAATTATAAATTAGAAGGATGCTGTAGAGTTAGCTTCCTTTATTAGGACGTTATTGTATACTTTATCAAGATACTCATCTTCATATCTGCATTATCTGGATGATATAATTATTATCGTAGATGATAACAGAATATTCGTTCAATCGTTCTTGTATGCACCATCATAGATATTGTGTGATAAAACTCGTAAACATGATGATTTTATCTTCTGTTTGATGATGCTTACTGTTGATTCAATCATTATCCTGATATTAGAGTAAGAAATCTTTCTAACTTATGTATTTATTATAGAAGATGATCCAAGATTATCATCGTTTATATAAAAATACTCATACTCATTATAACGACAATATGGTTATCATCAATATACAGAAAGCACTTTATCTTCTGTACGTTATAAAGATGCTACAACACCGTGGTATTTGTTCTTATCCAGGTTATCCTTAATGAAGGAAATGGAGAAATGATTTTAAGATCTTATGATGCTCTTCATCTGCATCTGAAGATGCTGCAAGACGATTAGCATCACTATACAGATTTTTATCCAGGTTATCCTTCAATAAGGAGGATGGAGACGAAGATGAATATAAGCTGAATTTTCCTGATTATAAATGATTTTAAGAGCTTGGAATAAAGCTCTTCTTTATCAGCATCGTCTTCATATTCTATACCGTTTATCCAACAGGATTAAGATGAAGAAGATGAAGAGTACCATCTTTCCATGCTAGATTTTCTTATTTTTAAGTCTTTATAAGTATGTTACGCTGCTGTAGAAGCAGGGTTGAATGTTACTGAAGTAGCATCTCCATTCTTGTTTTCTCTAGTCGAGGAGAAACGTTAGCCCAATTAACCTTTTTTAAATCTTAATTACTTATAGAAAAACTGTAATCCTCACTACTTTTTAAAAAAGAAAAAAAGATGGAGGAAAGTAAGCTGTTAGTTTGGCATTAAACTAAGATTAAGAAGGATGTTATATTTTTGAATTTGTGACATTGTTATCGAAAAACAATTATACTAATGACTAAGAGAAAATGTTTGAAGAAGGATGTTGGAACGGAAGGATATTCTTTCATTATTAATCCATCGAAAAGTTTAGGATAAAAACATGTAACTTAATTTATAAACGGATGAAGAATCTCGGCATCTTCAAAAGGTAAAAGGTCACCTTAATCAATGTCTCTAACAGATTCGTGATTGCATCCTTCCTATGTTTATAAAAGTGATGCTTTTCTCTATGTTAATCATCAATTGTAATATTAGAAATTAGGATTTTTCTTTGTCTGGGGAGAATTTTGGTGATTATTTTGTTAAATAAATTGTTCAAATGGTTCCTAGGATCATTAAGGTGTTGAAACTAGGATGATTACCTTAGGTTAGTCTACTAACTTAGGCTGATTATCTTAGGAATCTATAGTGTTATCTGCTACATAATGTTAAGTTTCTAGTGAATAGTGCTTTCTAGACTTAGGATAAGAATGAATAAACTTATATAAGGTGTTATATTCATTATACAATGCTGGTTTTCTAGTTTATAGGGCTAGAAAGTAGCTAGGTATGAGGTGTCATACCATATAATGCTAATTTTTCAGTCGTGCTAGATTATCTAGAAGGTAGATCATTATCAGATAGAAACAGTGATGTAGACAGAGAGCATCGTGAAATTATCTTTCACTGTACAAGGATCGTTTATTAGCAAGATGTTAGTAAATGAATGTTTAACAATCACATGATGTAAATTAAAATGATTAGTTATCATAAGATGCTATATATTAAGGAAATTATAATCACAAGATACTTAAAACTGAGTGATTATCTGTCAAACAATGATGCAATACTTTAGTATATCAACAGAGATCATCAATTTATATACCGCATCCCAAAGATGCTAACATTTTAAGGAAAATCAACAACAATCTCTGGATTAAAAAATCGCAAATGTGATGATAATTTAAGCAAATAATACGCGTCACAGAAGCTATAAAGAATGATAGAAAGCATATTTATTCATTGACAAAAGCAGAAACAATTCAATTGTTAGGATAGAAAACGATCGAAAAGACTTTCCTGTAGAGAGAGAGGAGAAACAAAAATAGTTCCTCGGGGGTTACTTTTTAATTTTATTTTATTTTATTTTTCTTCTCCTCTTTTTTTTTCTTGTTGGGATGAAGACAAATCCCGGTTTTCTCATCTGGACAGGATTGCACATTTGTCGAAAAGTTGAAGATGCATCGTTGGTGAGAAGGAGGAGGAAGAGTTTCGACAAGTCAGATGCTGACAAGATTTCGATCGGTAGTTTAAAGGACACACACACACAACACACGCACGCACACACAGACACACACATGTTGCGTGATACATGTCAATTTTATAAGGGTACTATAGTGTTTTTTCCTCCCTTTTTGATTGCCTCGTCTTTCTAAATTCTTTACTTTAAACTCATCAGCTTTTAATATCTATAAAATACTTTTAAAATTTGATCTTTTTACTGTTGTTTACGCTTTAAAATCTGGATATTTTTAATTAAAACACTTTTAAAATATTATATTTCGCTTAAATTTTTATTCTTTAAGTTATTCTAACATGCAGAAAGATAAGTTTAAGATGCTAAAGAGCTCGTCGTGTTATGCAAGTGAAAGAAGTTTTATTTAAAAATATATAAAAATATTTATAGATTAAACTTTATAATTAAGTGATAAAGTTAGAAAAGCTAATAAAAAAAACGTCACAGAGTTAAAAATTTTAGTTAAAATAACCAAAAACTTAGTTACTTTTGCTATGTAAACTTGGTTAAGGATGCTAATAAAGATGCTGCAGATGAAGATGCAAGAGAAAATGGAAAAACTTTCTAAGATATTTAAAAGCATTTTACACAGTTACTTACACATAAATTTGTAAATTTTAATGCTTAGAAGTATCGTTAATTAGCTGGAATTTATCATTGTAACTGATATGGAAGCGAATTGCAACAATAGAAATGTGATTATTAAATCTATTTAGGAAAGTGAAAGAGAAATGGAAAGTTAATGGTTACAACAATTGGAATATGATTAATTTAACAATAGAAATATGATTAATAAACAAATTAAAACCGAAATAGAAACGCATCCTTTACAACAATAGAAATATGATTAATAAATTTGGTAAAGATAAAGTTGTTGATTGAAACTTCTCCTCAATACACCACTAAATTTTAAAAATTAATTAATTAAATGGCGAATTTATTGAAATAAAATTAATTTAAAAAAAGAAATGGAAATTATGTAATAATAGTATTTAAAAATTAATAAATTAATAATTAAAAAAAAACATTAAAAGTCTATAGAGTTAGTATGTGCAGCATCCTTCAATAAGTGATGAAAAGGAGCAATGATTTAATTCCTATTAAAAATGGATAAAGATTCTTAAAAATTAGAAGAATTAGCTTCAAAATATAATTTAAATATATAAAATTATAAGTTATATCCGTACCGGAGCTTCAATTTAAAGAGAAGATGCGAATCACAAGGTCTTCTCCAAAAAATTGGAGGAAGAATAATAATAAAAAAAATTCTATAACAATTTACAAAATTTGATCGAAATAAAACGGCATTCAATGAGAAAATTCCTTATTAAATCTCTTTCCCATCCAAAGCGTCAACGTTGATTTACGAGCATCGAATTAGCAAAGCGGATAAAACTAATAATTAGCAATTTCATTCTCATTGTTTAGCAAATCTTTCTTAACACATATTCTTGGAGGTTGAGTCACCAGACAACCCCATGTCTCTGGCATTTTAACCATCTTTTACATTTGTTCAAACTTGTCATCTGACCGACAAAGACGTCACACAGTCTCGTTAGGGTACCTGGTGCAGAATTTTAATACCCTATAATTTTCTTCAGTTCGTTTAGATTGGAAATGGGAGGGTTAGAGAGATTTTCTTCTTGTTTTCTCCAATTAGTTGGTCGGATTTTAATTAGCTGCTTCGACTCTGATGAAAAGGGATGAAGTTTCTGAAGAACGCATTAAGGGATTACTAAGCTTTTTACCCCCCCTCCTCGAAACCTTCTACTTTTACATCGATATTTTCATATAGTAGGATATATAATTTCGCGTAACAATCTGGAAAAATGTCCCTATTTCCTACCCCCCTTCTTCAATAATTACTTTCTTCCTTGTTCTTCTACCGAAGACGATGAAGTTTATTTTTTTTTCTGCTGCTGATGGGGGTTGTTATTATTTATTTATTTTTTCTAATCGAAATCCTTCCCTCCTGATGAAAATGTCGTCACGAAATGTGGAAAAACGTCGAGTTTTTATAATAAAATCGTGTTTTTAATAGTTTATAAGTAAGGTGAGTAGGTGTAGAATTAATTAATGAATTGTTTTTGCAGAGGAACTTAGCGAACAACTGAAGTCTGCCGTTGGTATCGAGATACAAGGAGCGGGAATTGGAGATAAGGTAAGTGCACGATCGCATCTCTTGGGATGAGTGATGATGCTGCTGAGTATTTTCGTATATGAAATCAAGGATGAATTTCCTTCTTTTATAGACATTAAGCTTGAATTAATGGCTTAGTTATATAAAATTCGTGATACTTTGTTAGAATTCTATACCTCTTATGTTTATATACAGTTACGTAAATATACTCTAATGTGTCATTTATGTTCAAAAAAAAAAATTAATATATACTTCTTTAACAGCTGTATAAATGCATAGATACAGTACCCCTTTTAACGGCACGAATAATAAATAGCTATGTTTTACCCCTTTAACCTAATCTACCTATATACCCCCTATTATTTATGTATACTCTTTAACTTAATCTACATATATTACCTTTATCTGTACATAACTCTGTATGAATACCATATAACGTAATCTATCCTCTTTATCTATATAAACAACCCTCTATATAACGGTTATAGATGCATTATATTTAATTTTACACCCCCTTTAATAATTATAGATAAAGAGAAATCGTTTTACAACCGCTTTAACAAGTTCATTTTATGTTTTTAATGCTGTTACTTTAAATTAAAGCATTATATAATTAATATATTCAATGAATAATGTTACTGATTATATTCTCTAATACAGAAGTCATTCTTAAAGTGTAATTAATTATTTAAAAAAATTAATTTAAAATTATTATAATTATATATCGCGATGAGTCGTTGATGACAATGAATTTTATCATGATAAATTTAATTTAACAATAGAAAAATGATGATAATTAATTATAGAAAAGGTGGAATTTCTTTAATTATATTGATTTATAATATATATATATATGTGTGTATATTTTTTAAAAGAAAATGGATGTTTCAACTGTACTTCACTCATCACTAAAATTGATTTTTTTTCCCTGCGAATCGTTGAAATTGATTGTTTTCTGTGCATTGTTGAAACTGATTTGTTTCTTTGTATTGTTGTAAAAATACAAAAAAAAACAATAATAAATCAATTTTTAAAAAACGCAAAAGAAAAAAGTCAGTTTACATTGTTGTAACTAACTTTATAAAAATTAAATTTGAATTGTTATAACTGATTATTTTTGTTTTTTAAAATTGAATTTTATTATTTGTGTATTTTTTTGAAACTGGTTTTTTTTCTGCACGTTGTTAAAATTGACACATTTTTTTTTCTTTTGCATTGTTGAAATCGATTGTTAAAATTGACTTTTTTTGTTTTTACTGAACATTGTTGTTGTAATTGACGTTTTTGTTTTGCGTTTTTAAAATTGAATTTTTATTGTTGTAACTGATTATTTTTTTTAATTGTAATTTTTCGTGTATTTTTGTAACTGATCTATTTTCTTTTCATTGTTAAAATTGACATTTTTTGTGTAATTTTTTTTTTAAATTAAAGCCGAATTTTTTCTGCTTGTGCTTAAAATTTAATTTGTTTTCTGTATATTTTCGAATTTAATTTTTGTCTTGAAACCGAATTTTCTTTATTTATTAACTTTTTCTAAGCATTATCGAACTTAATTCGCTACTAAATATAATTTTTCTATAGTAAAACTGATATTTTTTTTTTGCATTTTTGACTAATTTTGGTTGAAATGTTTAATTCTATTTGTAATTTTTGCATCGCTTTAATAACGTTTTTCTAGATTTTACCGAGAAACTCGAAGCTAACTTTTGAAAAGTGTTTTATGTCGTAACCACTTATAAAAATTAGCAATAGTTAATTTTCAAAATAGACTTATATAAAAGAAAATTATTTCATGACTTACAGATAAGTCTATAATATCAAAATATAATCAAAATTTCTCAATTTAACCTTATATTATTTTAGAAAAAAATTAGAATAATCGGTTTACTAAGGATTTCATAGTCTCTAGAGGAGATATTTTTTTTAAAAAATTTAACGACAAATCTTACTCGGAACTTATGTTTAAACGATTCAAATCTCCTAGAAATTAATTATTTCCGNACATTTTTTTTCATTGTTGAAAAATCTTTATATATATTATATTATGGTTGAAAATTTGCAATTTCCAACATTCTACTCTCCATCTAGAAAATCCTCTAGAGAGAGATTTTCCTGCGATCTCAAAAGTCTGAGTAATGAAGGGTTGCTATAGCAACCTGTTGATTAATCCCCTGCAAAGGTCTATGGTGGGTGCGGTAATAATTATTGCATAATGAAGATTCCTCTTCTATTTCTATGGATTGTTACTTATATTCCCTTCGGTGGATCGTGTTACGTAGTGCATAATCAGGTAATTCAAAGCTATATCTTTTGCTATTGCTCTACGGTTGTATCCCTGTGGAGTTTAGGTTTCAACAGATCCCCACTTTCCATCGTTTAAGTAGGTTTTAATTGCTGTTCCACTCCGGAAAGATCCTCTGGGGGTATATCGTTGTCATGGTGAACTTCTTTTGGTCTTCTCTCCCTCTTCTCTCTCTCATTTTTTTCTTTCCTTCTATCCTATATGTTATTGTTTTCTTTATATTATTTAATTATTTGGAGTATTATACTTACCCCATTGACCTTATTGAGTTGTACTGTACCTCAACTCTTTATATTATTGTTTTCAATCTAGCGTAACGTCGTCTACTGCTGCTTCAATTATCTTTCGCCATTTAATTGCGATTTTCTTGTTGTAAAATTATTATTATCTTCATCGTTATTATGAGAAACAATTGCAAAATATTACACTTTAATTTAATTTAAATATTTTAAGTCTTTCTCCTCCAATTAATCGATAGTTTAATGTTAGACATTTTTTTTAATATTTGAAAATTAAATGCGTATTGTAAAGTAATGAATAATAACGTAACAAATTCAAGAAAGTAACGAAACAATAAAGAGAGATAAACGTAACATACTTAACACAACAATAAATGTAAACGTAACAATTAACTCAACAATAAATTTAAATTAATAAACGTAACACGTGCAACATAATACAAAGTGTGAAAAGCTTAACTTTACGCGCTTTAACGTAACAATTAACTTAATATTGCCAATGTAACATCGTAACACTCAACAACAAACTTATAAACAGATAAAATTAATTTTTAATAAAATAAATAAATAAATAAGAAGAAAAATTTTCAGTGGATCACTTAGTATAGTACTTCACTCGTATTTTTTTCAACGGAGACCACTCGTTAGGACTGACCAATGGTCCACCATAACGACGTCATACCGAGACTGAAACTTGGATTTACTACGTCATAATTCTTCACGTTAGTCTTCTAACTATGACTTGTACTAAAGACACGCTCGTATTCATCATCTCTGTATACAACTCTGATTGAATGCGACATTTGTCCTTTCGACACTTCCTTATTATATAGACTACTTATGGGGCAGAAATCGTAAATTCTTACTTCTATTAACTTATTGCTTCCTTTGGAAAAGAATCATTTTCGTTTTTACAACCTTTCAAAATTTCTTAAAATTATAAATTCAATTTTTAGTGTTTTTTTTGTTTTTTTGTTTTCGTATTGTTGAAATTGACTTTTATTTTTTTTAATAATTAACTATTTTTGGTTTATTTTTGTGTAAATTGACTTTAGGCGTTTTTAATTGTTGAAACTGGCATTTTTACATTTTTTTTTCATTGTTGAAATGGATTTATTTGCGTTTTTTCACTCTTGAAACTGGCATTTTTACATTTTTTTTCATTGTTGAAATAGATTTATTTGCGTTTTTTCATTGTTGAAATTGATTTTTGTGTTTTTTATATTGTCTATAGTGTTTAAATCGAGTTTTCTGTATTTTTATATTACCATTATTTTAAACAGCGCATAAATTTATTCTTTGTTACAAAATATTTTCTTCTGTATTTTTATTGTTTAAAATGCTTTTTTTTGTATTAAAAAACTGACATTTCGAGTTTTTATGCTATCAGTTCGAACTTTTAAAATTGGGTTTTTGTATGGTTAAAATTAAATTATTTTACGCTTGCATTTTTTAAATTCAGTTTTTAATGCTTTCCAATATTATTAAAACGAATTATTTAGTTTATTATTTATTTTTTTACGTTATTGCAACTAATTTCTTATTGCTTTCCGCCATATTAATATTTAGCTTTTAGTTCTTTCTATATTATTAAAACCTAATCTTTTAGAGCCTTACACATTACTGAGACTAATTTTTCTCCTTACAGTAACATTTATTGTTTCTACCTTCTGTAGTGCTTTCCGCATTATTGAAACGAATTGTTTTAATGAATGTTACATTATTAAATCTCGTTTTACTTCCCCGTCTGTTATATATATATAACAGAGGGAAAGTGTGAGGATCGGTCAGAAAATGACCCTCGAACATTTTTACATTTCTGGACTCAGGGGGATTTCTGTATAAAGTGTTGTTACTGTTTGTGTGAGAGGCACGATTTTGTTCACCCAGTTTAAAAGGTAAATAGTTCCTGTATTTTTTATGGAAAATCTCTGAAATTTTAAAGGTAGGTTTGTGTATTAGGGTGGTTTAAGTTTGTTTGTTTCAGTTATGGCAACGTAACACTTTGGCGACCTGCCTAGGGGGGATGCCTTTTTAAAGGGAACTGGTCCCTATTTAGGCGTTACAGACGTGGAAAAAACCCGGAAAACTGTATGTGGCCAGCTCGTCCGAGCGAGGCGCGAACTCACGACCGAACTCCCAGTGTTCAGGGTACGAAGAACCGTTTGGCCATTGGTGGGCACAGGGTGGTTAAAGGTCACGTAGGTGGAAGAATAGAGAAAGATCGCATCTCGAGTCGGAATTAATGAAGAATTTACTCATTATTATTTACAACTTTTTATAAAAACTCGTCTCTACTCCCAAAATTAAACTTTCTGATATTTTGTAATAATTAATAATACAAAAAGCTTTTAAAATAAGATTTTTACATTTTAATATTTTTTCCTGGAAAGTCACGCAACTAGTTGCTGGAATTATTTTTATTTTGTACTTTTCGAATTGTTGAAACCAATTTTTTTCTTGAATATTGTTGAAAACGA